AGCCGTTCAGGATTCTTCTGTTGTGAATTCTCTGTTTAATTCTATACCCCATTTTTTGATTAAGTTGTTTGGTTTTTTGGAATTAAGCTTCTTGAGTTCTTTATATATTTTGGATATTAGTCAAAAGGTAACATGGGGTTAGTAAAGATTTTTTTCCCATCTGTAGGTTGCCTATTTTTCTTATTGACTATGTCCTTCGCCTTACAAAAGCTTTTCAGTTTCATGAGGTCCCATTCATCAATTCTTGATCTTAAAGCCTAAGCCATTGGAGTTCTTTTAGGAAATCCTCCACCCCCATCCCATGCCCATGAATGAGTTCAAGGCTCTTTCCCACTTTCTCTTCTATTAGATTCAGTGTATCTGGTTTTATGCTAACCAGAGCAATAAGACAACAAAAGGAGACCAAGGGGATATAAATTAGCAAAGAAAAAGTCAAGGTATCACTATTTGCAGTTGATATGATAGTATACATAAGTGACCCCAAAAATTCTACCAGAGAACTTCTACAGCTGATAAACAACTTCAGCAAAGTGGCCAGATATAAAATTAACTCAAACAAATTAGTAGCCTTCCTTTATACAAATGATAAATGGGCTGAGAAAGAAAATAGAGAAACAACACCCTTCACAATAGTCACAAATAATATAAAATATCTAGCAGTAACTCTAGCCAAACAAGTGAAAAATCTGTATGACAAGAACTTCAAATTTCTCAAGAAAGAAATCAAAGAAGATCTCAGAACATGGAGAGATCTCCCATGCTCATAGATTGATTGGTAGAATTAACAGTAAAAAAAAAAAAAAAAAAAAAAAAGCCAACCTACCAAAAGCATCTACAGGTTCAATGCAATCCCCATCAAAATTTCAACAAAATTATTCAAAAACATGGAAGGAGCAATTCTCAATTTCATATGGAAAAACAAAAAAATCCAGGAGAGTGAAAACAATTCTTAACAATAAAAGAACTTTTGGCTGTTTTAGGATGAAATGTTCTATAGATATCCACTAAATCCATTTGGTTCATAACTTTCTGTTAGTTTCTGTTGTGTCTCTTTAGTTTCTGTTTCCATGATCTGTCCATTGCTGAGAGTGAGGTGTTGAAATTCCCCACTATTGTTGTGTGAGGGGCAGTGGTGGAGGCACATCCTCATAGAAGCAGGAGGGGGGATAGGACAGGGGTTCCTGGGAGGGGGGAAATGGGGTAAGGGGATAACATCTGAAATGTAAATAAAATATCCAATAAAAAATAAAATAAAAAATAAATGACTGAAACAACAACAACAAAAACAATAAAAGAACTTCTGGAGGAATCACCATCCCTGACCTCAAGCTGTACTACAGAGTGATAAAAACTGCATGGTATTGGCAAAGAGACAGACAGGTCAATCAATGGAATAGAATTAAAGACCTAAAAATAAAACCACACACTTAGGGACACCTGATCTTTGACAAAAAAGCCAAATATATACAATGGAAAAAAGAATGCATCTTTAATAAATGGTGCTGATCTAACTGACAGTCAGTATGTAGAAAAATGAAAATAGATCCATATTTGTCAACTTGCACAAAGTTCAAGTCCAGGTGGATCAAGGACCTTAACATAAAGCAAGATACACTGGATCATCTCATTTTTTAAAGACTGTGACACACAGTTCTCTTTCTTTATAGAAGGGGTTCATTTGGGATCAGAAGATGGTCCAAGTGAAGATTGCCAGTAACAGACAGTCATTAAAATGCTAAATGGTAGTTAATCTTTTTACAAATATGTACATATTATTTTCCCTTGAGAACTATACTCAAGACAGGAGTGGTGGCACATATCTTTTATCCCAGCACTCAGGAGGCAGAGAGGGGAGAATTCCTGAATTCATGGCCAGCCTAGTCTACAAAGCAAGTTCCAGGACAGCTAGGACTACACAGAGAAACCCTATCTCAAACACTCAAATAAACACACACACACACACACACACACACGGGTGGGGAGAAATACTCATTAAAAATCAAAGTGGTCCTTCCATCACTAATGTACTTGGAGTCTAGTAGAGTAGAACAAAAGCAAAATCATAGTGCAGTATGAGTCATAAGATTATGTGAAAACATAAAAGAAATATGAGGCCAGGCGGTAGTGGCGCACGCCTTTAATCCCAGCACTTGGGAAGCAGAGGCAGGCGGATTTCTGAGTTCGAGAGTTTGAGGCTAGCCTGGTCTACAGAGTGAGTTCCAGGACAGCCAGGGCTACACAGAGAAACCCTGTCTCGAAAAACCAAAAAAAAAGAAAAAAAAAGAAAAAAAAGAAATATGAAATTATGTGGCTAAAAAATAACTAACTTTCTAAAAGTCTGGGAAAGCATCAGATCAGTCGTTGATCCAGAAGAAAAATCAGAAGGAACTAAGTTAGAGTAAATTGAGGAAGAACTGAACAAGTCCTGAAAAATCAGTATGGGTAACGTATCACTTCTGGTTTCACAAGACCAGAGTCAAGGCAGAGATGGACTGAAGAAGGAAGGTGACCATTCTGGAAAATGTTCATTTTTACTGCAGCACACCTGTAAGGTTCTGCCACTGCTGCAGTCTTCCTGAACTGCCAGCTTGCTTTATATAGCTAAACCCCAACTAACCCAACTTTTTAAATTAACAGATACCGTTGTGTAATTTTATTACAACACCAGCTTCTAGTAGCTACCACTATGCGCTCTGTTTCTATAAGTGATTCAGATCCCATATTAGAGAGATTATGTAGTGTCTGTCTTTCCGTCTGCCCTACCTTCCAGCATGCTTCCTCCAGCCTGAGCAGCATGTGGATCCTTAAACTTGCCAAGTTGTTTTAAACATCTTTGGCCCCAAATTGAAATGCCTTTATTTTGTCTTGCTGCTCTTTTTCCTAGACTCACTCAGATGTGATATCTGTGAAAAAGCCTTTCTAACAGCACCCCACCACGCAAGGTTAATATGTGGCCACTGACAGACTCATACTTGACTGTAGTGATTTGCAGGAATGGCACCTCTGTGAGGTGCCACATTTCTAAGCACACAGCAGGTAATGCCTCTGTATCCATTGTGTCTAGCCTAGATGGGGACGAGGACATCAGCAAGTGTTTGTCAAAAGAAAAAATCAGATGAGGACATCTGATGGAGGGTTGGAAATTCAAAACCAATAATAAAACATACCAAAGACAAATATGAACACTCTGTACCTGCCATTGTTTCTCCTGTCTCAGCTCTGATGTTCATCTATCCTGGACCATAGCTGTTGGCTTGGTTATGTGTATGGAAGTGACTGGAAAGGGAGAGAAAACACAAAACTCTAGGTAGAGGGGCTGGTAAATATTTAGAGACTGAATATCAGGGCCACCAATGGCCCACACTAAGGGGAACCTGGCCAGCACACTTGGTTCCGTTCGTCTGTCTAAACTTCTAGGCACTGTTCTCTACTACCACCTGGTGGCCATATCTATAAATAGCAAGTTCCTAGTGAGGGAGCTAAGGGAAGGCAGTTCAAACAACCCCCAGGAGAACACAGAGGTGTGAGTGTGAGCCTGCACCTTATTCTGGTAAGGGCTCCAAGAGCTTACTATGTTTTTAAAGATACCTCTTGTCTACAAAAGACAGAATTACTGCTGAAGGGGTTGATTCCTTTTTTCAGAGATAGAAAGCAGGCCTGGCTCCCTGCTACTCAAACCTTATTCTCCAGCTTAACACAGTACTTATGCAGAACACAGTTTAACAACCACTCTAGTGAAATGAAAGGCTTATAGAGCCTCTGATCCAAGGGGACCTTTGTATGTAACTGAGACCTACTAGGTCTCATACCTAGAAGACATCGTGCTGATGTTCACAGGTGTGTCAGTAGCAATGCTAGGACTGAACATAAACTGCCCTCTTAACGGTTACTGTCTTTTAACCCTGCCTCACTTCCCACTTCCATCATTAAAAATGAATAAAACCATTTTCTACCCTAGTATGTTTCCCAAATGAAAGTCATTTTACCTACTTATTTTTAGATTTCTGGAAAGAACCAGATTCTTCTCAACAAACCATGATTCCTGATAGAAGATAAAGCCTGCAGCTTAAGTTTAAATTAGTTCTTTAAAATACAAGCACCAGTGCCCATGAGCTGACTTTAAAGAGAAAAAACTAAAACCCAGACTTGCTGTTTTTTCCTACAACTTGCCACTTGTCTCTGAGCTCGTGTATTTGGTGGTAATTCAAACAGTGAGCAGGTTATCAATATGACTGGTTATTTACATCTCTGGGGCCCAGGAATGACCTTATTTCCTGCTATAGAGAGCCACAGAAATCCAGGAGTTCACAAAAGTTAACGTTGCTGGAACATACACCTGCTAGATACACTAGAATTGGCTTCCTAAAGAATCTTCAGAGTATGATTTTAATTACTACTTTGGAGATGCCTAAAGTTGAAGTCCCAAGATTACACAGTTAATATGTGGTAGGAACTAGGTAGGCCTGGGGTCTGCCTGACTCCTCAGCATTCCTACAATGAGCTCCATGTTTTGAGCATCCTCTGTCCTCTTCTCAATGTCCCCTTCTCTTCTCTCTTTTAGGAGTGCCAGCTTCTCTCAGGGCACCCGGCAGAAGAGTGATACAGCCGTGCAAAAACTTGCCCAGAGCAATGGACACTGTATCAACGGAGTCAGCGGTCAAGTCCATGGCTTCTATAGCCTTCCTAAGCCAAGCCGACACAATACAGAATTCAAAGACAGTACTTATGATCTTCCACGGAGCTTGGCTTCACATGGCCACACCAAGAGCAGCCTCACAGGGTCTGAGACTGATAATGAGGATGTGTACACCTTCAAGATGCCCAGCAACACCCTGTGTCGGGAGTTTGGAGACCTCCTTGTGGACAATATGGATGCTCCAACCACCCCTCTCTCAGCCTACCAGATCCCTAGAACATTCACACTGGACAAGAACCACAATGCCATGGCAGTGGCCACTCCTGGAGACTCAGCCATAGCTCCCCCACCCCGGCCTCCCAAGCCAAGTCAGGCAGAAACACCTCGATGGGGCAGCCCTCAGCAAAGACCTCCAATCAGCGAAAATAGCAGATCTGTAGCTGCTACTATCCCCAGACGCAATACCCTCCCTGCAATGGACAACAGCCGACTCCACCGAGGTCTGTGTAATCTGTAGCTGAGACTAGAGGGCCAGAGAGGTGGTCCAGGCATTCTCAGAGTATTGCTAGCCCTTGGTCACCCCTAGGCCAAGGTAAACTTAAGGACTACTCAGTTCAGTGATACAAGTTGAAGCATCTTCTGTGCAATGTCCTTAGCAGTTGATCCTCCACCTAGTTGTCAACATGACACTCACCATGGCAGAAGTATTCCAGACTCTGCCTTAGAGGTGTTGATATTTTGGGTTTGTAGGCTCAAAACGTATTATTTATCTAAAACTAAAACCAAAAATGTGAAAACAAATTTAGAAGATTGGCAAAGTTAAAGAAAAAAATATGATATGAGATCTTCATATTTCCATGTCATAGAAAAATTTCTAGTTGAATTCTGTACTTGGACTTGAAACCGCTAAGTTCTATCCTCAACCCTGCATTCCCCCCTATTTGGTGAGCTCTCTTCAGAGCTTGCAAAGCTTTCTCATCCCCTGCTGTGACAGCAGCAAAGATGAGCCTCAGGCCTATGGGGCCAAGCACCTAGGTTAGAACTCTGCAATCAGTCAGGCTATCTGAGCAGTCACTCTGTGCTTTGGAACTGTATAATTGCCCTTCAAAGCTCACTAGCTGGAAAAAGAAAACCAACATATGTAGCTAGTATAAATGTCATTGCCAAAGTATTCCCAGAGGTCTGAGTGGGAGATATTAGATGAACCTAGGGCTAAAGTCAGGAGGTCCTCTGTAAACACTCACACTGGAACAGACAAGGATATGAGAATTGCTACACTAGACAGCCACAGGAGAGTCAACGTGGACTCAGCATGAGTATAAACCCTCTCCTTCTTTCATCACAGCTTCTTCCTGTGAGACCTATGAGTACCCAACACGAGGCAGTGGAGAGAGTGCCAGCTGGTCTGCTGAATCTGTGAGTCACAATGTTAATTCTTTTCTGGGGGTGAGGGGGGCTAATCAAGCCCCTTGGGTCAGTCAGAGTAGGGAAGAAGCTAAGCCCCATATAACTAAAAATGCATCACCCAAAGAATGATGGCATTTCTGTAAAAAACTGCCTACCTGTCCCAGTCCAAAGTCCTAGCAAGGAGTTTTTGGCAAGTTAAAATGGTACCCTCATCTGGTCCTGTGGCAGACTGGAATACAATGACACACACTCCAAAGTAGAGGGTCCTTTAAGGCAACAGCCCTGCTCTCTGGGTGTCACATGGAGTAGGAACATAGCAGAAGCAGTGACAGAGAACAGCTTACATGAGGTTCTCAGGCTGTCTCTGGAATGGGTTGACCACAGTTGACCAAGTTCAAAACAAGTTGATCAGGGCTTAGGTTCAAGCCCATTGGAAAGACAAGTGAGGAAGCCACGTGGGTAGATGTGCTCTGCTGTGCAATAAGGTGAGAGTTGGGAAACGGCTGCTACACTACTATACAAGTCTGTGGCAGTCTACCTACAGCTTGCTACTGTATACCTGGAATGACCCCAGGCCCACTGAATGCTAGACAGGGAAATGTAGCTAGTAAACCTCACCTTCCAGAGTCCTGTCCAGGGTCTAGATTGACTTATTGGTGGTCAGTCCTGAGCTATTCCTAGCCTTGACTGCCTTCTACCTTAGCCAGGCATCTGGACCTGACTATCTCTAGCCACAAGCCATGGATTTGTGTAACCACAGAATTTTATACTTCAGTCTCCCAAGAGATCGTGAAACAAGTAACTACAGAGCTCATTTCTTGATTCCCACTGCAAGTCCTTATTTGGTCTTCCCAAAGTCTCCCTTGTAGCTTCAAAGTGTAGCCAGCCGACTGGGACAGCCTGTACACAGTCTCACCTTACTACTTTTCACTAGTTACAGGTAGGTCTTTTACTTCTTTTTTTTAGCCAGGAAAGACTGCCGTGGGTCGATCAAACAGTGCCAGCTCTGATGACAACTACGTGCCCATGAACCCCGGTTCTTCTACCCTGCTGGCTATGGAACAAGTAGGAGACAATTCCCAGAGTGTCTACATCCCCATGAGCCCAGGGCCTCATCACTTTGACCCACTTGGCTACCCGTCCACAGCCCTTCCTATTCACAGAGGCCCCAGCCGAGGAAGTGAGATCCAGCCACCCCCAGTCAACCGAAACCTCAAGCCTGACCGAAAAAGTAAGTCCACTCTTTCCCCATCTCATCTCTGGACAGCATTTGCTTAGAGATTGGGTGGATACTGGACTTAAGGGTGTGTGACTGTGCAGATAATGTAAATTCAGACTTCAGATTTGTTTATAGGGAAAGCATCTGGAATACTTCACATAGTTCACTGCAGGTGTGCAGTAGTAGATCCATGGTCTGTGTGACGATCAGGAAAACATGCTAGAGTTCAAACTGCACTTCTGCTGGCCTTGGCTGAGCAGTAGGGATTGAAAGGGAGTTGGGAATTTGGACAGAGATGGAAGCCATGGGTGTGGCCAACAGGACTCTGACTGTGTGACCTTGAGCCTTACAGGGTCCTGTGCCTGTTTGCTTTCCTTCACTGTCATTTGTATATCACTATCCAAAATCAACAGCAGTAGTCACAATGACCATCTCTATTATGAATACAATCTGTTTTCACGAGAAATCACAAACCTGGGAGAATCTCTATTGTCAGACCCATGAGGCCCATTTTGGATTCTGGAAGACTTGATTACTATAGATACAGTGGGAAGGACACAGACTAGAATGTGAAGTCTTAGACATGGACTTAAAAGTATCTGGAGTTTGATATCTGTAGGAGCCCTGAAACCAAGTCACTTGTTTGTCCTTACTGAGCCTCAGATCCCCTGTATAAAGCTGACGGCCCTTGTAAATGTGCTGAGGTGTTACATATGGTCTGTGTCTATGTAGTACCGTCCCTGATTCCTGAATTCTGTTCCTGCTTTAGCAAAGCCAACACCCCTTGACCTGAGAAACAATGCTGTCATCGATGAGCTCCCCTTCAAGTCACCTGTCACCAAGTCTTGGTCCAGGATCAAGTGAGTATCTGTAGGAGCAAAAGCTTGGGGTCAGAATTGGGTAGCATGATAGCTGGCCTAGGAGTCGGGACACCAGGACGTTGATAATACTATTGTTCAGTTTCTGGTCTTTGCTACAAAATATATGGCATAAACACTTCAAAGACAAGGGTAGATGTGTTTTGGTTCATGATTTCAGTCTGTGGTGAGGCAGAAACATTATGGGGTGGGGAGAGCATAACAGCCAAAAAACAAAATGCATGCCTGTCCTGGCTGTTCCATCTAGCCCCAGCCCATTTGGCTGGTACTATACACATTTAGGGTGGGTCTTCCCACATCTGTTGCTATACCACATGCCAATTATCTTCCATGTTTTATTAATCTGTCTCTTGATCTATTGGGAATTGTTTTCCTCACCTGTGAAGGGGAAATGATTAAAATGTCCCTATATTAAATCTGATAATGGAAGCATGAAGCTCGGATGTGAGGCTGGGGTCTGGGGTATAAGAACCATAGCTTCTCAGTGTTCACTCTCTTTTTTTCTGTCCAACAGCCACACCTTTAACTCCAGTTCCTCCCAGTACTGCCGTCCTATCTCCACACAAAGCATCACCAGCACAGACTCAGGAGACAGTGAGGAGAACTATGTCGCCATGGTGAGTCCTCAAGCATTCACTGGACTGCCTCCCATTTCTTCTACACAGCTCAGGCCATAGCCATCAAAGTCAACTTCCTGCTGCAGACCCTTCCTAGACACATGAATGTCAAACAATAGGAGTTATGAGCCATTAGAAATGCACAGCTTTGCCCCCAAGGTCATCTGGGTCTTAAAGACCCCAGGTGGCCTCTCTCTTTCTCACTCCTGTAATTCAGGACGTCATGGTGGGTGCCCTTGCAGAGATGTACAGATATATAGCTCCATGCAGTGTGATGGTACTAGCAGAAATACATGGGGCATAGTACAGTTCCTCTCTAGGGTCACTGAAAGGGTACAGCTGCCAAGCCTGCAGAGATTCAGAAAACAGATCAAACATTAAAATGGAACTATCACTTCTTACTACAGTCAGACACTGGAACATTTTAGACATAAATTGTTCTCTTAAAGCTGAAGACAGAGCCCTAGAACCTCTCACATGTAAAATGGCTGAAGAAATGAAGGCCTATCACCCAGAAAAAAAGGTGACTGTCCAGGTGTCTGGAGAAGGGCAGAGGGCATGAGCTGCTTGTGACCAGGTGTGATAGGAAGCTTTACATCACCAAATGTAGAAGAATGTTGCTTATTAGGGATCTTTGAACTGAGGCTAGGTCTTTAGGAAAAACAGTACCTAAGACTTGCCCCAAATCTCCCTAGGGGGTGGGGGCCAGGTACATGGGATTACCATAGGTTTCGTAGTCAGAAAACATCCCTGGCACAGCTATGCAAGTGTAGATGACTCACTGTACTTCCTGAACCTAGTTTTTTAGCCTCTAGTGATTTGAACAGTGGTGATATCCATCTCTTAGGACTGCTATGAAGACTTAAATGAGAATATGAACAGTCACAGTGCATTGGCTCAGTGCAGGACACAGTGGAGGAGCTCTTGCTCCCAGAGGTAGTTTTCCAGATGATGGTTTAGGTTATTAAACTTACCTAGTTTTACTCTCTGTCATAGCAAAACCCAGTATCTGCATCCCCTGTTCCCAGTGGCACTAACAGCCCAGCTCCAAAGAAGAGTACTGGCAGTGTGGATTACCTAGCCTTGGATTTCCAGCCGGGCTCCCCAAGCCCTCACCGCAAGGTACCCGGAGGTTGGGGATGAAGGAACCCATCCCACCAGTCCCTTTCCAGAGACATTTTATATGATCATTGCAGAGAATCAGTCCACTCATGTCCTTGCTGTGGGATATACTCAAGGGGATTCAGTCAGCAATATAAGACATGAAGATCCTCTCTCCCTTCCCTTTGAGAAACAGAGAGAAACTGTCTGAGTGAGACCCAGAGTCCTGACAGAGACACAGCATCCCTTAGAAGGGACTTCAGAGCCTGGGGAAGTCCACCTCAGCACACTTTCCCTCAGCATGTTATAAGGGCTCTGTAAGGCCTGCTGCTTACTGCCATCCAACACATCCTTTCCCTGGAGGTGTGGCCAAAGGAAGATGGGTAGAGGCATTATTAAAAGCCCGAGCCAGTTGCAGGGCCCAGGGCTAGCAGGCTATCCTGAAAGCTGGGAATGAGGAGTCAGCGGGCTTGGTGCCTCCAACAGAAGACCACTTCAGTTTGAAATCCACTCTCAGCACAGACACTCAAAGTGAGAGCCTTATACAGGTAACTCAGTCATTTCTCTTGTCCCCTCAGCCATCCACATCATCTGTCACATCGGATGAGAAGGTAGACTATGTCCAAGTGGATAAAGAGAAAACTCAGGCCCTGCAGAACACCATGCAGGAGTGGACAGATGTGCGACAGTCCTCAGAACCATCCAAGGGTGCCAAGCTGTAATGACGGGGGCCATCGAGTTCAAGAGCCATGAGGCAGCTGCCCTGACCTGCCTCTTCTGTCACCTCCTTCTCCATTTCTTCCTAAACCTCCTCTCCCCTGTACCACTTTCAGCCTTCAAAGCACTCAACATCAGGGACCTGACCCTTCCCCATCAGAGGCAAGGGCCTGGTGGAGACACTTCCTCTGCCACTTGAGTTCCACCTATGGCTTCTGTCAATACTAGCTGTGCCTCCACCACCTTAGTTAGGAGCTGTTGCCAAAAAAAGCTTCCTGCTTTGGACCCATTTGTCTGCTGCTTGGTCTCTCAGAGGGAGGGTTAAAGCTCTGAGCTAGGCTCATATCTCATGTCTGCTCACCGCTGTCCACCCTCTACCTCAGGGCTGCTTCTCCATCCCCAGCAGAGAATGATAACCTAGGGAGCCAAGAAACAGCAGACCAGAGTACACATGGGCTTTCTGATCTCTGCTATTTTGGCAAGGAAAAGGCAAGGTGCCACAAGAAGGAATGGTTGATAGTGGAAGTCAGGAGCTGCCTTGAGTGAGGAAGAAGTTAGGTCCCCAGACGTGGGGGTGTAGCTGATAACCTGCAGGGTGATACTCAATATCAGGTGCACCCCTGCTGTAGACTGGGAGAAGAGTATGAAGGACAGCTGGAAGGAAAACTGATAATGATAAGCAACTAGGAACAATAAAGAACAAAAGTCTTTGGGTGACAAAGCTTGGAGCTAGAGGACTCTGCCACTCTGGGACAGGCAGTCTTCTTTCCTGGCCCTGATGAAGAGATGAGACAGTGGGAGAAGAGACAGTAGCAGGTGATATGGGGGATGGGAGGCAGGGGGATCCTGGGACAGGAGTGTGTTAGGCACAGAGCAGTGTGGGGACACTGCCACAGAAAGAAAGTTACTAGTAGGTAGGAAGGTGCAGAGATGACTTAGGGACCAGGAGGCAGGGAAGACATGTGGCAAGTGGAGACATGTGTCTAAAGGGCCTGATGGAGAGCCCAAGGCCACATGCAGGAATATAGCAAGGCGCAGAATGAGAAGGAGCTATACTTTAACCAAGTGAGTCTAGAGAGCACAGGAGGGTCTGGGTAATGGCTTGTGCCAGACAGAAGCACCTCTGACCTAGTGACAGGCCAAGTCTTTTCTCTGTTGTCCTCAGCGCAGGGATGGTAGAAACTAACCCTCTCCTCTCATGGCTTCAGAGGTCACCAGGGCAGAAGGGATGGGAAGCTGTCATTGCCTAAGGCTTTTAAGACAAGGCAGGAAGATCTGAATGTGTTTGTGTTGAAAGTTGTTGACCAAATTTTCAAGCATTTCATTTCAGAAGAAAAACAGGACAAACCAGCATTTCATTTTGCCCTAGATGAACAGATTATTGTCCTCTAAAACTTAGGACTGTTCAGCAACTAAAGGCACACCTCACCTCTCTCCTCCAGAGAGCCCTGTCTAGGAGCTCCTCAGTAGTAGCCCCTCAGTAGGATGGAACATGTAGTAATGGCTGCTGAGCCCTGTGCTGCCGATGACTCATACCTTGTCCCTAGCTACAGGTCACAATCCGTGAGAAAAGTAAATGGTGACTGGCAAGTACATAAAAAGGAAAAGTGCTAAAGGAGACTGAGCCACAGGAGGGGAAGCCTCAAGGAGGAGCAGAGCGTGTTTTCAAGGGTAAGCAGGGGTGGGTCCAAGGAGGAAACAGGAGAGATGAGGGAAGCCTCGGCTTCGGGAACAGAAGGTCTTTGAAGGGATGAAGCCAGCCTCAGAAGTGTGCACTGGCACCTTGAGTGAAATGGGGCTGTGGATGGTTGCACTGAGCAGGGTTACAAGGTACTTGGCTGGCTCTGCCCGTCCTCATGGTGTCCTTTAAGGCCTTCAGTGGGTCTCCCATGTGGCTAAGCTTCTGACTGATGCTGCTGTGGCTCATAGCAGGTCTAGGCATTATTGGCCTCAGCAGCCACCCCATAAACCCTGGAGCTCATTTTCTGAGTTGAGTATGCCATGTGAATGGAGCTGGCTGCCATTTACCAAAATTGAGGTATTATTCTACTTAGTCTCAAGGCCTGTCTGGCTCTGGTTCCAACCTGTGGAAAGCTGAGCTCTGGCTCACAATCCCCAGACTGCTAGCCATGTCTAATGTACCCACCCATCCCAACTCCCAAATAGGAAAAGCCAATCTCATTTAGAAAACAAAAATATGTTGGCTTATCCATAAGTCAAAGTTCACCACCCCTGGTGGCTGTCAAGGACTAAGCCAAGAACACCCATCACCTCTTAGCTAGCATAACTCCCACAAGTACCTGTCCTGCAGGGCAGGGCCTCTTCCCACTTCATCCTGCTAGATTACAGTTTAGTAGGAACAGTGAAGAAAGGGGGTGGCACCTCCTTGAGACTTGCCAGTCTGTGAAATGGGATGGTCACAGCTGATACTCTGCTGCTGTAAGAAACTGGGTGATCCTTTGAAGGTCTGGGTTACTGGGGAAGAGCAGCACACAGAACGTTAGTTCATTAGCTGCCTCCCTCTCTATCTGATTTTGCTGATAGCTACATTGACTCCATGAAAAGAAGCCACATTCCCAGAACAGAAGCACAACCCTTCTGAAGTTACTGGAACAAGGGTTCAGGTCCCATCTGCCTTTGGGCCCTTTATCTATCAGCAGCTAGAGTCCCAGCCACAGCTCCCTCCTCTCCCTGCAGCAGAGCTTTGCAAGCTATGAGAGGAAGTGGCTCTTCCTTTCCATTTGGGCCTTTGGCTGTAACTGTAAATTGCAGGGAAGCAGGCTGACCTTAGAGGGCCATATTTCTGGGACTTCCTATATTTGCGGTCTTGGAAAGGCAGGAACAGCCAGACTTGCCAAGGGCGCCTGCTGATAATTTGTGCTGTCATGGTATCTGGTGGTGTGTGTTCTTGTGTAATCTGTTGGCTACTTGTGTCTTGAAATTTAGAATCATTTTGTTACTATTTGTTGGGAAAAAAAATGAAATAGAAGCAGCCTAGTTTTACATCGTGTCTTGTTACCATATAAGATTGACATTTAATTTTTCAAGTCATTGTTGGTGCCTAATCACTTAAGTTATTAATTTATTCTGTTTTCAAAAAAATGTAACATATTTATCTTGTGAAGTCTGGGGGTGGGGTGGGAAATGTGTTCAACTGAGTCTTGTTTCACAGTGGTAACAAATGGTACAGGCCTGGAGCTTGCAGGTCCCTTTTTATTATGGTGTAGAAGCGGACAATAAAGTCCTTTAGAAATGCAACCCAGAGTGGGCTGCTGGAGACTGTGTTTAGGGGTGTGGAAATGGACTCTTGTCCCATCCTGGGCAGTCCTATAGATACCTTCTCTGACAAACTCATTTCAGGATCATTTCATGAATAACCCCAGGAGCTGGTGTGTCCAGTTCTGCTCATCTTGATGGGCCACAATTGGACACTTTTCCAGGCCGGGAGCAGGAATGAACCTTCTTTACTCAGACCAGCATCTGCAGTTGTGTACACCTGTCATCCCAGCACTCTAGAAGCTGAAGCATGGACAGGACAATCTGTTTCCTTGACAGCTCCAGAGTCTGGCATTTGGACCAAAACCATTTTGACCTTACAGATGCTTTGTTCTTAAGAGGATGATCTTGGGTGCAGGCCAGTCCCAGACCCTCCCTCAATATACAGCCACCCATGTCTCTCTTCAAGATTGTAACTCTGAACCGAAAGAGCTGGATGTTGGGGCTAGAGAGACGACTCAGCTGTTTGGTTCCTAGTGCCCACACTGCGTGGTTCATAACAGCTTGTCACTCCAGTTCCAGGGGATGTGATGGCCTCTCCTGGCCTCCACACATACATGGTACACATACAGTTCACAGAGATACACATTCATACAATAAAAATAAAAGTTTTTTTTTAAAGCCCTAGATGTTGACTCTGGAGTGCTGGAGAACTGCCTCCCAGCCTACACCTTGACTAGGCAGGAACAAGCTATGGCCCCCTTCTCAGAGGAGAAAAAAAGGAAGGTAATGATGGCATATGTTTCAAGGCAGCTCGGAATCCTTGGAATCTGAAAAATGACTGTTGGGTCTCTACAGTCACTTGGCAAACCAGACTGCTCCAAAGTAACCCATGAGGCATCCCCAGACACACCTCCTCCCTCCCTATGGCCCCGCCCCGTGCTGCTCCAGGAGGCGGCCAGCTCCAAGGCCTAGCACCAAGCACCTCCTTACTACATTTAAGGTCCACATCCTCTCCTTACCAATGAGAAGCTCGTTACTATCAAGACTGCTTAGACACAAACATCCCAAAGAGCAGCAGACGCCACAGCTCAAGCTGGAAGAACAGCATCCTGCACAGCCTTCAGAGAAGCAAGTTTTATTCCTATTTAAGAACACAGGTTTCTTCCCTTCACTGAGAAGGGGCTATGGTAGTCTCAGGGCACAATGAGGTTGGGTGCATTACACAGTTCAGACCTACCTAGCCCTCACATCCCATCAGAGGAGCCAAGCCAGCTAGCTTCCTCAGATGACAATGGCTTTCTGACAGATTAATGTCTTCAGTACAATAAGGACTCTGGACCTTAACTAGACAGGGATGCAATGGCAGCATCTCAGGCACTGAGGCAGGCTAGGGAGGGCAGGGGCTCTCCCACAGTGTCACTTGCTTGGGGTAGGGGAGGGGCATGTGGTAAGATTCTTGTCTCTGATCCTGTGCTATGCTGCCTTCCATTCACATGCATCAAAAACACAGCAGGTGCAGACACCCACATACCTTGTTTTAAGAACCCCCTTAAAAAAACAAGAGGGTGGGCATTGGGGACACAGTCCCCTTCTTGTTCCAAGGGTGTGACTTCAGCTGTGCTTTTTCTCCTATTGAGGAAGAGCTGGGTGAAGGAATTAGAAAGAAGTGCTACTGGACACAGGACACCAAGCTGACACCACCCTGGCTCCTGAGCTGGCTGGCCTCTCCAGGATTGGACCTGCAGGGAGGCAAAGCCCAGAGTGGACGCATTCAGGATGCTCCCAGTTAGTCAGGACACTTGACTATAACATCGTAATAGGATGAATGCCTAAGGAGCTTTGGGTTTCAGTTTCTCTGTGCACTTCAAGCTACAAACTGACATCCCAAATGGTCCCTCTTCATCCTCCATGCCCTCAGAGAGACCAGCTTCACCTTAGGCTTGCCTCCACAGCTTCCTAAGACCCCCGATGGTAGAGTGTACTACCTGGGCCCTGAGCCCCACCTGGCCCACTCTGAGGTTGGCTGTGATAGCCCCACAAGTGGGAGTTCCCATTAGAAGACCAGTCTGTGGAAGTCACCATTGCCACCTGCAGGGTTGCAGCCCCCTGGTGAGCCTTCATCCTCATCTTTGTCTTCATCAAAGCCCCTACCCCAGTGTGAAGGGGCAGGGAGTGTAGAGATATAGGCTGCCCTGCTCCGGGCCTCCTTCTCCTGCTCCTGGGAACAAAGGACAGATGGTAGGCTTAGCATTCATCGAGGTCTCCTACTTACCCAGCACAACACTGCCAACTTCTCTGGATCCCTTTAGGGTCTGGCCCCGCTGAGAAGCTGGATGACTTCAGGTCTAAGATTCAACCTCTACCCTTTCCTCCCAATGATAACTCGGGTCCTCTGAAGGACTTTTTCATACAAGTGCCTGGGACCTCAAAAACTTCTCCAGGCTTCCTGGCTTCCACTGTCCAGATCACCCACTGCCTCTCTTGAAGCATGAGGTCCATCTTCTGCCCATGAGCAAGTCCTTCCCTGATCAGTCTCTCTCAGACTTCACCATATCTCGGCTGGATGGCCTGAAAAACGTCGAAGCAGGCCTGGTGTCCCCATGCCTTCTCATTCCTTACCTGAAACACCATCTCTAGATGCAGGGCCCTCAAAGCCTGGATATGGCCACCCTGTGGCTGAATATTTTACTACTACTCTTGACACTGATAAAGGTGCTTGAGGCAGTGTCAAAAGAGGGCATTAGTACTTGAGGGCCACTGAGGAAGGCGGCCCTTCTGAGAGCCCCATAAGCATCCCCTGCCCACTATTTCCACTATTCTCTCCCTCAACATTGTCAATTGTGCTATTACTCAGTATCCCTTCCTCTGAGGTTAAGAGGTGTGCCTTACCAGCCATCGACATTACCCTACTAAGTGATGAGTGCATGGATGGATTTAAAATTGAGGCACACTCAAAGGAAGAACAGATAACTGACCTACTATGTAGGTGGCTGTGCTGAGCCAACTCCTAACCCAGGAGTGGTTTCAGGTTCCGAAGGCTCTACAGACCCTCAGCACACAACTCACCTGCAGATAGAGGACATTGTCTTTGGAAATGGCCTCCATCAGGTCCTTGTGGAGGGTAGGCTCTGCTCGGACTCTAGGAGAGCCAGGCTCAGCCTCAGGGCCCTCCCTGGGTCTCTGACGGTAGAAGAGCACATAGGCAGTGTCCTTAGGGAAAAAGGAGGTGACATTGCTGACAGACTCAAAGGACGAGAAAGACACCCGGGTATCATTAAAAAGGTACCACTGGTTCTCGGGCTCCAGCCTCTCTGTGGATCCCAGGGCAGGAGCTGGCCGAGCAGCACCCTCACGAGCATAGCAGTAATAGTGGCCACTCTCTGAGGACACTCCAGAGTGCACCACCACACTACAGAGGTCATAAGCCTGGCCCTGACCCCCAGCCAGCGGCAGGCGCAACAAAAGGGGGATGGTGACATCGTCCAGGATCTTGCGTCGCCTCATGGTACGCAGGTCAAAGGAGAAGCGCAGTAGTGTGAGGATGAGGTAGCGTGGACCCTGGCTCAGCTCCACCACCTTTTCTGCATCCTGCAGGGAGGCACAGGACTCACAGTAGTAGCGGTTCTCAGCCGTCAGCCTCTCAGGGGACAGGAAGTAGTTGACCAAGTCCAGTACAGAGCGGGAACCCTCAGGACCACATGCCTGCTCCCGGGGTGGAGTGGCAGCATCCCTGCAGGTCCCTGGTCCTAAGCTGTCCCCTTCCTTCTCCTTGCTGTCTTCAGCTTCCTTTTCCTTTTCATCTTCCTTCTTCTCTTTCTCTTTGTCTTTCTCTTCCCCTTCTTCTTTCTCCTCTTCCCTTGTTCCTTCCTCCTCCCTGTCCTCTGTCACTTCCTTCTCCTTCCCAGCCTGCTCCCTCTCTACCTTCTCCTGCCCACTCTGTCCGCCAGTGCTGAGGGTGTCCACACCTTCAATGTCCAGTCCAGTGCGGGGAGCATCCCCTGTGATACAGTGCTTCCTCTGCCTCTGCACCCCTGGGGCTCTGGGAGCCAGTGTCAATGCCTGAGCTCCCACATCCTCCATGGGGAGCATCACAGAGCCGAGGCGGCGGTGGCGACTTCTCTCAGGAGGAGGGAAGGCCAAAGAGAGGTCTGTGAAGGCCTCCTCCCTTGAGGAGACATTGAGGCAGTGGAGACAGCATATCCGGGTCACAATCTTGCCTCCAAACATTTTCTCCACAGACGTTGCATTGGGGCTGGGGAGCTCTTCCTGTGGGGATGGCAGACTGGACTGCTTGAGCTTCTGGCAGATCCTAGTCCCCGTTTTCTCTTCTTCATGAAGCCTAGAACAAAGAGGGAGACCAGGTATATACGCCTTCCAGCAGGCCCGCCCCCCAGCACATTGCCCACCAGACTTAAATACAAGAGCCTGGAAAGAGACTTCTCATCCCTGTACAAAGTGGCATACTAACATACTTCTGTGTACACACACACACACACCTAAAGACAGGCCTGTGGCTGTGTAACGAAGATTAACATACCCAGGCAGCACAGTGAATGCACATGCACACATTGACAGCACAGTGAATGCACACACACACACTGACAGCACAGTGAATGCACATGCACACATTGACAGCACAGTGAATGCACACACACACATTGACAGCACAGTGAATGCACACACACACATTGACAGCACAGTGAATGCACACGCACACATTGACAGCACGGTGAATCCACACGCACACACTGACAGCCCCTTCCCAGGTCTCACATGTAGTTCAGCGCCTTTGGAGACCAATGGCACATACCTTCCTCTCTGCCTTTCAGAACAAGGAAGTGTTCCTATTTCCAGAAAGATCTAACCCAGCTCAGAGAGACAAGCTATCATCCCAGAATGTTCTCAGAACCCACACATCATCCTAACCCACCAGCCCTTCTTACCGATCCAGCAGGTACTTCAGATACTCTGAACAGTCCTGCTGGGTGCCAGGGCTGAACCAAGGTGTCCAGGATGCAGAGAGGAAGTTCTCAGGAGAG